CACTTCGCATTGCGTCAGCTGGGCTCTAGAGGCAGCAGATTCCAACTCGTATTTTTGCTTATGTTGATTATGCATTGATTCCTAGTTAATAACCTTGCCGTGGCCTCAATGGCACTCCAAAGTTGGTCAGATCCGCGTAGTAAACTCCCTTTGTGTGAACTCCGAGTGTAGAGTGTGGGGAAAAAGCGTTTACCTATGTTTCCCTTAATAAACTGAACTGAACTGAATCAGGTCGTGTATGTAGCAAGCGCCAACAGACGCCCTAGTTCTGTCATCCACTGCGCTCGATAGCAGAATCGGTTAGTTGACCAGCTTGGACTGTCGACTGGTGTACGGGGAAAGAGAGAAGGAGTCACGTCGACTCGCCATAAACGGTCTGACTCGTGTGTATCTATCCCAGTGTGGTACAAGCCGTGGCTTTGAAGTCTGCTGGTCTAAGTCAGACCTCGCTGCCAGCCCACTGTGTTTAGGCGAGGTGAGTGAGGTGGGTGAGTGGTTGACTGAGAGTTAGACTGCAATACCTCCTCCTTACTGTGGCCTCTATGATAAGCACACTCACTTAGTATCCTACCTGCCACCCCTTAGTGGTTTGGTGCAATCCACAAATAGTAATAATAATACTATGCTAGCCGTTGAACAGCCGCTGGTGAGACTTGAGAGCGCACCTCAAGGCACAACGGGACGAGTGAATTCCGTAACTGATGTGTGAGTTCCCATTGACTACAGTGTATATTCTTGCCCGAAACCGGCAAAGCAACGACCTCGTGGCGCAGAGGTTAGTGTATTGGACTTCTAGTCAAGAAGGTGGCGCCCTAACACCTGGCGTCGAAGAGGTGGTCCTCCGGTGTTGATCTGAAAGGAGCAGTTGGAGTGATCTCTGAGGCGGATGGTTTTTAATATTCTGATGATTTGCTTCGGTGCGAGTATGAAACATGAGCTGAATAAAGTATCCTCCCCAGAGATCGCTTTACCTTCTCCAGTATGGATACAAGGACTCGAAAGCTTGATGCAGGCCATGTTGTGATATATTCTTCATCAAGTTGTTGTCAAGATGTGTTACTAACGGTAACTATGTACAGCCGAATGACAACTACTCGCTCACTATTGGTGATCTAGCATGGATAACCCAACCGAGTGTGTCAGCCTATGCAGGGATTTAAACCGAATCTAGTTGATATTTGAACATTTATAAGTCAAAAACTTGTTTTTTTCTTGTATTTTTTTCCACCTAGGCTTCTTAATTAATCAGCCTGTAATCTAACAATCTTACTTGTCAGTCGTTTTATATCGCCTCCTCCCATCTTAAATTTGTTCCTTTTAACAACTATCGTCAGTAAATGAGGCTCAGTTCATCGGTGAATGCCACTGTTATAGTAAACACGTCTTGCGACGGCAGTTAATTTGGAACAAGCTGCTGAATTACTGCCGGCTTCGCGAATACCCGAACAGCTTCACCGAATGTTGCAGGCGAAATCTGAACGATAGACCTAAGTTCATGGATTGCGTTTTCCGACATTTGTACCCTAATACCAGCGTACTTTCTTTACAGTTTACTGCCTTACATTTTAAGTCCGAGCATGAATTCGGCAAGACAAGGAAATTGGCGAATTCCAGGAGGACACTTGTTTCAATGTCCTAACAGTAGTCTAAACCATAAACTTGTCCCAAACCCTAGCGTTTATCTTCCTGGAATTTGGTGCAAGGCCAACTTGTAATACGCGGTTCCTCTTCCCGCGTCCTACCAAGAAGAAAAAAACAATTAGACCTACTATCTAAAATACCGAGGTAACTTTCATACGCTGGTGTATGACTGACTGTTTATTATAAGACATGTCGGTCCTTATCCTAGTTTACTGGTAGACTAACTTCGGGACCCCTAACCGGGCCGCGTGGTAGGTGCATTTGACCAACAAAGGAGCGAGATCAGGGCATGCTAAGCGTTATACGGGTTGCACTCCCGTAACAAATGTCAACATGGGGACGTGGTGGTACGCGTAGCGGCAGGCTCACGCCGCACCAATCACATGCGTCCAATCCCGCCGCCAATCCTCTTGACTCTGTCCTGACATCAAGCACCAATGGGTGAGGGAAGAGAGAGAGGGAGAGTGCGGCAGATGCAGCGCAAGTCTACTACCACTTAAAACTACTCAACGCGTAAGTCAGCGCGCTTGCATTCAGCTTGCTGAAGCACGCGTTGGACGTCGTCGTCGAAATCTGCGTTCGAATTGTCGGGTAGACTAACTGCTTGAAATGTTTCTATTAGAAATGCCGTTAAACAACCACGGTCTTCCGCGCACGCACAGATCCTACTTCAAGGCGCACACATTTCCCGTTGGGATTAATTTTCATTCTTCGCCCAAATAATTCCCTTTTGGGCAGCATTCAGGAGTTTATTTATTTGTCGGATGGCACGCCTACTTTTGCTGGCTGCATCGCTTGCCAAAAAGGCAAGAATTTGTCGGATCTCTCTCCTAATTTATTTATTTATGAAGTGAAGTGCTGTTAGTCGAACGCCTTCCTCTTCAATTTGTTTATTGTCCTGGTTTGACGCAAAAATAATATCTGTAAATGTAGATTAATAGAAGAATCAGACGTTTTTATCGCAAGTTGTCCCACACCTCATTTTACCTTACGAAAGACGAAAGCATTTTTTTGCTCTACCAAATAATAGACTATGCGCGGTTTAAACTTCCGCCACTAGCGGCATACGCCAAAAGAGGTGAATCGGCAATTGAAATCCTTAAATATTCTTAGATAGGATAAAGCTGAGTTGCAGTAGCGATAAATATAAGCCATGACCGCAAGTTGATTTCCGTGTGAAAGCGTTCGCAGGCATTTGAATAGATCCTACTTTCAAGAAAGTGCTATGAACTGTTATAAAGTTTCGGGATATTTTTGCTGATTAAGAAAGCGATTTAAGTAATTTTTAGTTTTTCTATAGAAAAGTTATCCATTTTCGAAGTCAACCCTGAGAAGGAGGAAAGATTTTGATTTTAGAAGAAATCGTAGCTTAGTATTTTTCCGGACTTGAATGCATTAATACTCGAAACTCTACAAGTCTCATGCGTTCACTTAAGAAAAATACCAATTTTTTCTGATGTCGTTGAAGATTTTTATCGAAGTATCTCACGCTAATATCCGATGATTACGCTTTTCAGGAAGCACACATACCAAACAAATTGGAAAGCACAAGAACATACAGTTCGTGTTCTAAAGATTTTCTGAAATGACTTTAGCTTTTAAATGCGCAAATATTCTACACGTCCGAATGTCAATTCGTAATAAGAATTGGAACTTATTGTGAACTGCTTTAAGGATAAATCCTTTATTTTAATCGTCTGGAACAAGATTAAAACTCTACACTAGTCTATTTATGATTGCTCCGGTAAAATTGATAACGTGGATGGAGTATTCTCGATGCATAAAACTACTCAGTAGTTTGCCAATTTACATAAGGTTTTTTCCCATAGTAGCCTTACTGAAATCATTCAGAAGTACTATTTGTTGTTTCGGTACATGTTGAAAGCTGTCGGTCAAGGGGTCGTGCGTTTCGGCACTTACTGATAATTTGAGTTTATCTGTTATCCAAGTGAAGTTTTATATAAAAAGTGCGTTGTGTCTGCAGACTTTTTTAAAGCCAGTTCCTCTAACTGCTTGCATTCATTTAAAAAATCCACTTCATAGTTTAGGAGTAAAAGTAAGGGGATATTTTAACATCATTTCAACGCTTAACACTCTTTATGAAGTAGTGTACAGCACAGTTGTCCGGAGATGGGCATTTAAATCTTTTTCTATCGATTTGCGCTTCCGGCCGAATGTTTTGGTTAAATCTTAAATCGAGACTACTATTAGGGAGAGAGATCCCGACTAATTAGATGTCAGAAACTGTTCCGCATTTGTCGTCTGCTCCGTTATAAATAATAAATAAATACGTAAATTGTATATTTAAGGCACAAAGGAATCTTTCATTATGATTGTTTTTTTCGTATATGCTTGCTTGTGGGACGTTTACTCAGGTCATTGGGTTTACTGCAACAAGGCGAGCCTTGATCGTTAAATTGCAACCATTGGTTATGAGCCCGAAACCATTCACAACGTAGACTATGTGTATTTTGTTTAAAGCTGAAATAGCTATTCACAGCCGTTGTTAAGATACTGAAGCGGTTCCAAATAGTCGTGACTTATTGACACGAATATTCGCTCACAAAAACCTGTTCGTCGGGAGGAATCGCCTAGGCTTTGAGTCACACAGTACTTAGAGTTATGACCGATTCTGTCGCCGAACAGGCTTATCGGACCGCCCGGCAACCTGAGAGTTAGTCTGAAGCCGAAACCGTCTAGAAAGGTGAACCAGTTGGCATGTCCTCACCTGGCCGTCGTAACATCACCAAGGCAAAGGCAAGCCATAGCATCGATATAGGCAGGGCCGAGTGGGAGAAGAACTTATTTGTCTGATGATTGGGATTACTGCTCCATTTCACGGTAATCGGCAGCAGTGGATAGATGAGACGGTCACACACAGAGTCGAGCTGCAGTGGGCACATAAGCACACGTCTCGAACAAATTACTGACTCCCACAGTTAACATGCGTTTTCACAGTTGGTACACGTACGTAGTCGGGCACTTCTGATTTTTGGTAATTGATTCAAATGTGTGTTTACTCGTCCGCAGGCGCTTGACTCACTACTCTGTCCAAGCAGTCTTACTGCTCAATAGGAAGTGGAAAATCGTTGAACTTATTTTGAGAAGAATAAGAATTATCGAACACTGGAATTATTATATTATTAGCCTGAACTTTCGGGCTCCTGCAAGAGCCCATCATCAGAGTAGGGAAAAGCAGCAAATGAGGTAGCTAGTCCTAGCGTGTGCACAAAACAGCTAAAATTTGAACGGGTAGAAAATCAATAATTGTATGGGAGGGACGGACAGGACCACCAGTGCCGTGATATTGACGATACCTGCGCAGGGCAACATATGAGGGCGCCATCTCGATGCGTCGGTTAATTGAGATTTCATCCGACGCCCAGGCTTCAATAAGTTCTCGGCCCCTCTTGCTGCTTGCGT